CCCCAAAACCCCAAAACCCCGCAAGCAATTTAGAGGGAAAATATTTAAAATTTAAGTATAAATTTAGCTTAAATCATTAATCAGAGAGTTATGTGATAAGAATGTCAGAGTATATCTTGATATTTCTCTTGAACATAGTGAGTTCCTTTGACTTTAATATTTTAAAGTATTTCTTTAGACTGATACACTCTTCGCCACTTTCTTTAACTGTTTTATTAACTCTAAAAAGCAAGTCTTTGATTAGATGGACTCTTGGGAATGGAATTGAGTAGTCTCTGTCCTATGAATATTCTGTCTCATCAAACCATGCCTGGGCCTATATACAAATTATTTTAATTAATAAATTACCTGTAAGAAGTTTTGTTTATTATGAAGGTCATCTTTGCCCTTGAATTCTGCTCTATATGTCTCAAGATGCTTATCTGTAGGGATTGAAGATTTGAGTAGTATTATATAAGTTGCAATTTATCTCCAGTCGATAGATCCTGTGCATTGCTTATCAAGATTTCTGGCCATATTTTGGATATCATACTCTGTATAATTGGTCCATTCAACTGGAAGGCTGCCCTCATCTCCTAGATTCTTTGAGTTCTCAAGCTTTCTGACAAATAGATCAACTATTACTTTATTTGGAACATTATTTGATCCGTTGCCGTGTTACTTGGCAAGATGTTCCAATTCATTAACTAGAGTAGAAAGTTAAGAAATACTGAATCTATCATGCCTAACCTCCTCTAATGCAGGAAGCTTTTCAGGGGGTGGCTCTATGTAATTCATAATCTTTTCATCCACGCAGAAGTCCATAAATTTGACTCTAAGCTCATCTTAGATCTTCTTCTCATCCTCAATAGCTCTTTTAATGACAATAGACATTTCATCTATCGCATCGTTCTCTGTTTTGTTTGAGACTTAAATCCAGTCTTCAAGTTTAAGATAGACTTTTATTGCTTTTTACCTCATTTCTCTAAGTCTCTTAAGAGTCCAGTTTCTGATTTAAGTCAATCTGTATCTGAGAATAGATTTCTCGACTTTGATAGCAGCTCTCATATCTCTTACATACTATGAATCTTCAACTGGCTTTTCCTCTTCTGCGGGTTTTTTGGGATCTTTACCCTTAGGTGGTGCTCCTTTCTTGTCTTGGTTTTATGATGATAATTGAGTAACATCTTGGACTACTTAGGTCTTGAGAGCCTTCTCAAATAACTTATCTAGTCTCGGGTATTGATACTAATCAATATTACTTGAGTCTGCACCTTCTGGAAGGGACTCAACAGGTGGTAGCTCCTCCCCATCAGCAACTAAATCCTAGGTAAAGAATTATGGGGCTTCTGGGATTAGTTTGTCCTCAAAGGCATGATAATAGTCGTGAAGAAGCTAAACACTAGCCTTAAATTTATCTACTTCAGATTGCATTAAGAGTTGTGCACTGCTCACTGCAAATGTTAATTCGTATTCGACCCATCCGCTTTCCATGATCTTCTTTCTTTCTTCGATGTGCTGTTCTTTTCTCTCTTCAATTATCTCCCACAGCTCATCTGACAAGATATCCACTCTTTAGTGAAGTTCGTCCTTCGTCTATTCATCTTCTCTCAAATCTGGATATTGATCACTAAATTCATTGAACTCCTTGATAAATTAGTCCAGCTTTTCTTGCTTTTAATCTGGTCTGTGGAGGAATTTCAAGAATTAATTCTGGATAGTTGAGAAGTTTTCGGTTAGTCTCTCTCTTTGATCTCTAACCTACCTGAATACCTTTTTCATTTATTGCTTATAATTTTAGCAAAGTTATTGCCAGGCATCCATAATTACTGGTTTAAAGTCATTGTCGATGTTATCAGGGGCTGCTTGCTTAAGCCCAATTCTATCAGTGGCTGGCTCTGGCTTATCGACTTTACCTTCTTCTTTCTTGATTTCTTCCCCTGGTTATTAATCACCACCTTCAGCCTCTTTGCGTTTTCTCTCCTCTTCTTCTTCTAAAGCGATTCTTTATTTCTCAGCTTCTTCAATTTCAGTTTGAATTATCTTTTCTAAGATTCTTTTTTTAATCTTTACTTCTTATTTAGATTTCTTGTGTTGAATCTTTTAAATAACTTGTATGATTTCTTTGTGTAGAGAATCTTGGTCAAGATCTCCGCTAACTTTATTAAGTATCTGGAAGTCTCTAGCTTCTCCTTTCTTTGAGTTTAGGCCAAACTATTTGAGCCAGTTTTCTAGACCTTGGGCATTTTGATCATATGAGATCCATCTATCAATCAAAGTGGCTTCAGAGTTATCCTCCTCATCCATAGGTTAAAGTCTTTCACATAGTGGAGCGTTAGTGGTCAGAGGTGTTTAATCCTCAATGTGATACACTTTTTCATTGACATTGTCAAATCTTCTGCCAAGTGCTCTTCTCATGCATTCATCTCTTGAACAGTCAATCCAAATCACAGCATCCAAACCACTCTTAAGTAGTTTCTTTGGAGGTACTTCCTTGGCATTTGGTTAAACCAAAAGGAATGCTTCTTCGATTTATGCTTCTCTGTCAATCTTATCTTACTCTTGTGGAGGTACATACCCGCTCAATGCTTGTTCTAATAACTTGGCTTGGGCAAAGGTGGCTGGGAAGTCTACTAATATCCAGCCCTTGCTATCTTAGGCTTATGCAGTTTGAAGTTCTTTGTTGAGTTTGTCTAGTTCATCTTGGAGTTGAACAGGATCCTTCTTTCTTCTTCTTCTTGAACCTCCTGGATTCTCACCATTTCCACCTCCGTTGAGTTCTTGGATTTCATTTTCAACAGTCTGAATCTTCTAGGTAATTTCTCTTTCTTTTTCTACCTTTGACTTCAATTCTCTTCTTAGCTGTTTCTTTGACTTGTGTGGATAAGTTAGTCTGAGTTTAGCAATAAAAAGTCTCACATAAATGTCATCTGTGATTTCAATACCTTCCTTTAGAAGTTCTGATATGTCTTAACCACATTATCTGAAGTCTTCCTCAGCATTTAACTCCTCATCTATCTCACTATCTTCAGAAATCTCTAAATCATCTTATATTGCTTCCTCTTCACTATTTTGCTAGAGAGCTCTTTGTATAGACTCTGGATTTTATTCAAAGAAACTTACAGCTTGAGACACCAAGTCGTTCAAGTAATAAATATCAAGATTTCCGAATACTTCTTTCAATTTATTAGCTTAAGTTTTCTTTCCAGCAAAAGCATATCCGACGAAGCACAGTTTCAAGTTAAGATAGCTAGGCATCTTAGGCTTTTTATGGTTTTCTCTCTAGTCAAAGTTCATGTTGATAATAAGTTCTAGAGCATCTCCTAAAAGGTAATTGTTTGGTGCTTGCAGTGGGAGTTCAGTATCTCCTTCCTCAAGAACTATTTGATCAGCAGCTGCAGCTTTACTAGGAGCTGGTGCTTTTCCACCCTTAGCCCCTGCTGCTGGAGCAGATTCAGTTTGGCCTGTGAGGAATTGCTCTAGATTTGGTTGGTTTTCAGCAATTAGAGCCTCTGGCCATTAGCCTTGGTTTTTCAAATAATCCTCAAGTTCTACTTGATCAAGGTTGGCACTAATGACCTCCTTCATAGAATCCTGCATAAAGTCTCTTTCAATCATAGTATCATCTTTAGAGATTGGTAAATCTGCTACGAATAGCTAGAGCCATTCATGCCAGCATCTTGAATCAATGTCCTCAGAATCTTACTTCTGTTGGTGAATATATGCCTCGTTGGCAATGTCAAATATAGCATCGAAAAGTTGATAGCCGAACTCATTTCTTTTTTCTCTTTTAGATTGCTTGTGAACTATTCTCATCTCCTGGTCTCTTTCTTGGAAGATCTCCATTTCTCTTTGCATTTGATCTCTTAGTGACTTCATCATCTCTTCTTCTCTCCAAATAGCTGTTTACTAATCTAACTCTCTTCTTTTCTCGTATCTGGCTTCTCTGAGCTTTCTGTCTTCAATTATAACATTTTTACATTGGTTAGTTCTCCAAGACTCATATTGCAATTCTTCCTCTTGCTTTGCCTATCTTTTCATTCTCTCAATGATCTAGGCTTCTTTTCTCTTTTGCTCCATTTCAATGTGAGTCTTACCCTAGTCAACAATCATCTTTCTTCTCCTTCTTTCCCTATCCTTTCTATTCTTCTCAGTTACTGTTTTCTTGTCCTTGGTCTTAAGACCTGTTGAGGAAAGAGTCATGCCTCCACCAAGAGTCATAAGATTTGTCTTTGATGCTCCTCCAATGGTGTTATTTAAAGGTGGTAGTTAAGTCTGCTTAGTCATTGAAGCAAATCTGCTTCCCTTGGCTGAGGACTTCAATGGAGATTAAGTCAAATGTTCATGGACTGCTCTGTCAGCATCATCTTTTCTGACTTTTGGATTAATGCCAATATTCTTAAGAGTTTGCTCAAATTGCCCGATACCATCATTAACCTCCTTATTTGCTTCATCAATTTTTTTCACAGTCAAGTTATTGTATTTCTCAGCCTATTTGTATTCAAACTCGAGTTGCCTCTTTTCTCTGTCTTTCTTAATACTTTGGTTTTTCTTCCAGTCTTCAACTCCTTTTTACTGCCATTCCTCCATAAACCCAGCATTTCTTTGTATCTTATTGATTTAAGCTCTTCTCGTCTCTTATCTCATCTTGTCCTTAGCATCCATCTCCTCGCTATGGAATCTCTTAGCCTGATCCTCTTATCTTTACTTCTCCTAGTCGAATTTGTCCAGGTGTTTCTCCATGTTAAGAACTTTTTGTGGCTTGTTTAACTCCTAAAGACGGTTTTAGAAAAACTTCTGAGCGTGCTCGTCATATTTATCTTTAGAGTGAGCAATCTTCAATGCAGGTTGATTGTCCCCCATCTTTCCAGCTGCAAAATAATTTAAGACTTATTGGTTGACTTACTCTTTCTAAGGACTGCAATATCTGTTGGTGGGTAGACTTTTTCAAGTACCATTTTCAATTGATAGAGGAGTCTTAAAGCACTACCTCTCTGCTGCTTTATGATATTATCAACCATATCCGAGTCAAACTTAACCTTCAGATTCCTTAGAGTTGGAAATAGCTTGTTAAAATTCTCCAGGTTTGAGGCTACATCACTCCTATATTTTAATCACATTCAGTATAGCCTTAAAATTGTATTCGTACTTTTTTGAAAATGATTTAAAGTTTGATTGTTAGTTGAACTTGTAGAGAAGTTCTCCGAATAGGTAACCGTTTGCGAAGTCCTTCTCAAAATCTTTCACTGGCTACAAAACAGATTAACGACTAAGCCACTCAATATATAATATGGAAGAGGGTCGGATGACTTACGTGTGAAAGTTCAATTTCATTGTTCAGCCAATTAAGTAACAAATCAGATGCCATCTTTTTAGAATCTAGCTTTTATTTATTTATATTTCAAAGAGACTTAATTATTCTTTATATTTATTAAGATTTCAAATTCTTCAATCAATTTAAAATTTATTCATAGAGGGGTTTTGGGGTTTTGGGG